TCCAGAGGATGTTGATCTATGCTTCTCTCTGCCTGACGGAAGCGGTGGTCGGCTCGCGAACTCTCTTGACGGCGTCTGAGACTGGTGGGAGCCTCACTCTGGGCCTCATGTTCCCCCGGTGTCACAATCCCTTGGGAAAGTGCCTGGGGGACCAGAGGATCATCAGGACTGTCTGTTGGAGCAGTACCTCCTGATCGATGGGTGTGTCGACGACGCCGGTGTTGGCTTCTTTGAGGAGAGGCAGGAGGGTGACGAGTGCTAGGCTCCGGCCGAGACTGAGCGTCCATGTCTGTATCCGTGGATGAGTTTCCGTCAGTGTCAAGGCTACCCAGGAGGGAAAATCGATTAGCAACCTGGGCGTATGAGGCATGTGACTGGGACAGGCTGCTAGTTCCTACTTGTGAAGAGACCCGACCAGGGGGGAACCTGGAGGCGAGAAGCGATAGGCTGATTGAGGGTGCGCAACTTCTGGAACAGCTCATGTCGAGGTGTCCCCGCTGTTTTATGATCGATGTCCAACTGGAGAGCCTCAAGATATACAGGGCAACTCTTAGACGTAACCTTATGATGGCCATGGCATAAAAAGCAGCGAGGTGCAGCAGAGCACCCGTTATCTCTGTCTGAATGGCCTGTTTTGCCACAGTTTGCACAACGTGCTGTATTACGGCAGGTCAGGCGACTGTGGCCCAATAGATGACAAGCGTAACATCGTAACACAGGGAAATTGTAGGGCTGAACCTGATACGAGGTCCTGTGTAGTGCCACTCGGTCAGGGAGGTGCCCATCGAATTTTACACGGACCATGGATGTCGGTCCTGCTGCTCCGCGAATCCTGGTAACTTCCAATAATCTCGCTGATACACCCCCTAATACCTGCAGAGCGGCCTGGATGTCATCCACATCTACACTCTGGTCAATTGGGCCAATCTTCCCATACCGGGCCCGAGACGACTCCTCCTGCGACAATACCTGTAGGCACCTGACAGGCCAGTCCCCCAACTTAATAATGTCGGATACACAGATGTGTGATAGAGCCTCCTTTCTGATATGTAGCTTCAGTGCTGCACCCCTACCCAGGGTACGTATGGTCTCAGGCAGGCAATGTGGCCACAATACGGAAGCCTCGATTGCTGCACCTAAGGTACGAGGATTTGCAAAGACGCACTGACCTGATTCTGACTGGATTAGGACTACCACAAACGAGGAACGGGGTACCACAAGACTAAGGTCTTCTGAAGGGGAAGACATCCTCTTAGCATCTCGCTCTGGGGCAGCATCAGCCGACTCATTTTCCAGAAAGACGTTTTCCTCTCTGGGACTTGCTGTCAACATCCATGGCGCCCCCGCTCGGGGAGGCGTCCATTAGGGAGGCTCCGCGGCCTCCCCCGGTCCTGTGAACCCCTGGGTAGCTGCAGTGAGCACACACTGGCCCAAAGAAGCCAGCTGAATTCAAAGATGAGTTCCAGGTAAGGTGTGGAAAGAACGTCCAGCCAGGAGCGTTCAATCCGCGCGCCAAGATGGCCGACCTTCGGGCGGGAACCGGGGAGGGACGAGCTGCGCAGACATGTGGCGTGGCGTGGCTCGTGTGACGTCATGCTTGTTTGCTCGTTTTCCCTTGGGGGAGTTCTGGCTACTTGTTTCGTTATTTTCGTTGGTTTTACCAGAATAGGGGTTTGTTTTGAGGCACTTACCTTTCTGGGTGCCTGTCCCGGTTGATGGCAGATAGAGAATGCTCCAAAAATACATGTACAGTATAGGCCATTTCTCCTCATGCCTCTCTGAGAGGACCAGGTTCTGGCCGTGGTCCCCGGTAGGCCTAGAACTCCACCTACATCGACTGATTCCAAAAGTTAGGACTATCCCTATCAGCCTGGATACCTCAGGGGAGTCATAGGGGCTCCCCACAGAAAAAAAATATGTAAATAACTGTAGAATGTATTACACTTATTATAAAATTATACATCGTTTCGAACCTATATGGTTCATTCTCAAGTGATGGGACAGTACAGGGCATATTGGATTTATACCATTAGGGGGCCAGGTGTAGACAAATGGGTCAATACAAATGTGTCAAGAATAGATGAGTTTTCATCTATTTTCTGAAGTTCCTTGCTAATTTTACAAAATTTTGTTGAGACCCATCTACTATCTCTATTTTGATTGCCCACTACTTTGGGGACAAGAAACACAGAAATTACACAATAGCGTGATGCATCAAATGAACAAATCACACAAGGATCTATGTCTCGGAGAGGCTGCAGGATCTGTGTGAAGTTAGTGGAATTCCCGGTTGTAAATCTTTTGACCATGTTGTGGCCTAGTCGACTAAGGCAGCATCTGGGATCATCCCGGGCATAAGTTCGAACCCTCATCACGGCCCTTGTGGATTTGTTCATTGAACTTGGATTGAAGTGATTGGAACGAATCCAATCACTTGTGAGACAACTGCACTGATCACTACACCACAATGTGTATGTAGGAGATCAATCGGATCCTGTTGGTAATACCTTCAATCCCCATCTAAGAGCTAAAATTGAAGAAATCGAAAAAATCACTACCTGGACTTCACTTGCTAAGCATGATACTGTAAAGCTGTGTGATGCTTAACATAAGCCCTTTGTTGCCTTCATTCATCCATTATTTTCTTTCATGCTACAATGCAAGAATGTATCCCCAAAGTTCTTTTAAATACAGAAAGCACTAAGAATCACAAGTATTAAGTTCAGCAGAGTATAAGACTGTATCAGAGCATTGCACAACAAGGCTCACCTGGTTAATATAAGGTTCAAGAATTGAACAATCACCCCAGACTATGTGCCAACTAATGGCCTATGGGGGTACAAGAATCAGAACACTCGCCCCAAGGTTGTGTGCCAACTGATGGACAACTCGCGTACAGGTAAATGCAAAAGTAACTCAGCACATTGTATTTGATATCTCATGTTTTAAAACTGTAAATGGAAAACTGCATCATATGATAATGAATATATGCATGAAGCATATATCTTTAAATGAAAATTGGCTTTGTATGTTTTCACGAAGAAGACAACTACAAATAATTGGATGTAATTTTATTATCCATAAGGTTTCAAATATATGCAAAAATATCTTAACTATTAATGACAATGAGACTATTAAACAATCCTCAGTTAATTGAACATTTGTATGATCCACTGAACAATTTGTATAGAACATAATTTGTTCGGACCATCCAGGAATTTGTTACAGTGGAGTTCATTGAAGTGAGGATACACTAATTTGAAGATGTGAAAAAATAGTGTCAATTTTGGAGCCATGGGGATGTGTTGCATGTGTTTTAAAACCAAGATCCTACTAAAACCAAACCTACTTAGATGGTGTGTTACATGTGTAGTACTTACCAATACGTTTTTATCAGTAACTATGAAGTAATGAGGTCTAGCTTTTGATGCCCCCGCATCACAGCCCTTTGTACATGTGCACAGATACAGAGAGAACATGTGCTTTAAAGTATGGGTATGTGGCAGCTGCATATTCAGTTGCCTTCACTTTCTGGAGGCCTGTTGTCAAGTAGGATCACAAGGCTCGTATGCACTTGGCTGCAGTTTTTCATGTCTGGGCAAGTCGTAGAGAAATTATCTGGTCAGCTCTGTGGCAGTTTGGCAGCCTTGGGTGGTTTGCCTGTGGTTGCATCCTTGTTGCCTGTGGCAGGGGCCTCAGAAGCGCTGCCCAAGTTGCTTGCTCCTCTCCTTTAGGAGGCAGTGGTGGGGTTCTGTTCCGAGTGCCAGTCTTGCTGATGGGCCATGTTGGTCCATGCCTTAAGTGTTTGGTGTTTGTCCCTCTTGTCCTTCTCCTTCCCCTCTTTGATTCTTGTGTATCCCACATAGTGCTACCTACTCCTACCTGTCTGTTGCCCTCATGTTTGACACTCGTTTAATTGTGCTTGCAGGGGGGTTACATTTCAGACTTATGGTTTCGCCTCTTAATCAAAGCTTTTAGTAGGATATATTTAAGGTATTATAACACATTTTACAATCTGCAGGACAGTATCTATCTTTTCTAAAACACACCATGGTACTGTTCAAAATTGTCAAACTCAACATGGTGGGAATGTAAGACATATTACCTTAAACAACTGCAAGTCAGTAGCTATGCAAAATGGGCCTGGATTTTTTTTATTAAAGAGTTACTTATTACTAATCACTGCTGGGGAGTCCATTTAGCACAGTTTTATTGATTGAAGAGTGGAGAAATAATTGTGCTATGATTAATTATTGTTACTAAATTTCAATAACATTTTCTACAGACCTTTTGATCACAAGAAGCATTTTCTAAGTAAGTTCTAACATCTGCAAAAAAGTATTATCAGTATCAGAGTATTATTTTCTTATAGTATAGACGCATTGTGGCATTTTGACAGCCTTGGTTGGTTTGCCTGTGGTTACATCCTTGTTGCCTGTGGCAGGGGCCTCAGAAACACTGCCCAAGTTGCTTGCTCCTCTCCTTTAGGAGGCAGTGGTAATATGGCATTATCTGTATCAGTCAAAATATTGGTAAACCTCTACTGCTATACAGTACTGTACTATGTAAGTAAAGAACACTCAAAGCTATCAGCTACATAAACCAAAAATGTAAAGCTCATCTGTTCTACAGCAAAGTACAGTTAATCATTTCTACTGAAATGTAAATTACCAGGAATATTTAACTGAAAAGTCTTGAAATACCACATCTTTTTCGTATATAAAAGATGCCATTATTAGACTGTTGCATTGTATAAGAAGGAATACCTGTTATTAGAAGCTGACAAGAAACCATTCGACATGTGTAAACTAAACACATTTAAGGCAAGGATGACACACAAAACTGAAGTTGTGCAAAATAGCCCCACACTAAAAAGCTTGACAGACCAAACTCACCTCACAATACTCCAGCATTTGGGTATTGTAGAAGCTATGACAAGCATTCAAGGAAAAGGAAGCATTGCCTGCAAACCAGGATAAATTAGGAACCTCATACCATGACTAATAGGAAGCAACTGGCCCATATTCAAAGAAGTCGGGTCTATCAAAGAGAAGAGATCTTAATACTGTAGGAGGAAATTATAAAAGAACCGCATGCTCTGCCAATGGCAAAAGACAGAAGTTTGGACATCTCTATAGACTCTACTGGAACCTAGACATGCACACAGGAATGGAAGAGGGGTACAATTCACATTTTGTGTTAATAGAATAACCTTTTTTTCGAGGAAGCTAGTGATTAGTTAAGGAGAAAAGGCACTGTTACTGAAATTTGGGTCCCTCTAGCCCCAGACACTCTAGGGACAGAGGCAGTGCCGAGCCAAAATCCATGCCAGACGAAGAATACAAAAGCGTATTCCCACAGAAAAGGCTCCATTGCAGGACACTTTCCTGAGAAACAAAAGGAAGCGGATCCTTGGCAGGAAGCAGAGATTCGACTATCACCATTGCTGAAGTGGAGGGGGGCAATCCCCAGAAAAGGCCCAAACACACTTGGAGGAGAGGGAAACTGGGAGCAGAGGGGAAGGTCCCTGGGCTCACTGAACAACACCAGCTGAACCCAGGAACAGAGATGGGTGAGAAAACTTGGAGAAAGTAGAAAACACCAACTGCTCCAAGATCAGGTCCTGGAAAGACAATGGGTCGACCTTTGTAAGGTAAGGTAAGTATCAGGAGAAAGCGCTAAGCCATTAGGACTATATAGCACTTGTGAGGGATATGAAGATAATTATTTGGTATAGGATGGAAGGAGGAAAGGAGTGATGTGCAATCGCCTCGGCCATGTGACAACCACATCAAGAGTAAGGCACAACTTACCAATATGGACAAATCTGGCTGATACAGCAGCAGCTGCCTGATAAGCCAAGTCCCAAGAGGAAGGTTCTGCCAAAACAGATACCCAATGACCACAAACACCGCAGGCCTCACTCAGGCTGTAATGCACCTTCCCGATAACAAGTGGTACATTAGAGACAGTAGGAATGGCCATTGGAGTACATAAAAATGAGACATCTTTTAAACTCTCACTCTGTGAGGGAAGAATCAGAGGGCTGGGTGTCCATAATAAACCCTATAAAAACTGCAAGGGTATTTCTAGGTCCTAAAGAATAGACCAAGCCGGAGCACAGGACACAGGAGTTACTTGCTGAGCAGACATCACAAACAGCTTGGGGTAAAAGTCTGCTAGTAAGGGTGTGAGCAGTGTGCCATTGAATCCTTAAGCTTCTCAGGGCCTTAATGAACATGCAAACCCCCTGTGCAACCCTTAATGATGATCAGACTGCCTCGAACCTAAAAGCCTCACAGAGAAGTTAAAGACTATTGACTCCTCTGTGTCAATAGAGACAAGGTCAAGGCACCTTCCTAAGAGGAAACCAGCCTCTCAGAGACAGTCTCCCAAACTTCCCAGAGAAAGAAGCTCTGGCCAAGCAAGGGGTAATGTCAGCGAACACTTTGAGACTTGAGGTCTAGGCACAAGGCATTTATGATGAACTGTTAATCAGAGTACACACAAAAAGTGAGGTATAAATATGCATGCGTTATGAGGCAAAAATTAAGACATGAAACAAATGTGCATATGGCCCCAGCATATGGCACAAGCATATGGCTCCAGCAAGAAAAACGAAGTCTAGGATGGCCAGCACTTATCTGAAAAACAGAGACTCATAGGGTGCAGGCAGAAAGAAAAGTGTAACAGTGAATGTGAATGAACGTGCACTAGGCATATGACTTAGTGGTGATGGTGGTGATGGGGGTATGGCTGGTGATTCAAGAAGTAAGATGCACATCTCTTCGTGTCATGCCGGTGGAACTAATGTTAGAACTGCTTCACCCTTCACCTTCAAGTGGTTCATGAATTTCAAGACATTGCTGACCTGTTTGCAATGTTGTGTTTATCTAGGTGTTGTTTGTTTTGACTAGCCCCACTTTCTGGTGGTAGTTTCTGGTTAGGGCGATTTACAATCCCCAGCATGTTGCACCTCTATATAGGCAGATACACAGCCGGGTTTTGGCCTCTGGTCCCCAGGAGCCTTATTTATGGCTCTTTCAGGGTATGGCACAGATTGAATTAGACAGAGCTTGCCAGGCAGCAAGCAATAAGACACCACCTAAGAATTCCTCACAGAAAATGCTTGATAGAATTGTGACTGAAAATGTAGTTCAGTACCAGTGTCATGTGTGGCTACTGCTAATCAAAGATTTCCCAATCAGAGACAATAGTCATCATTTTTAGTCTAGCTGATTTCATGAAAGAGTACTGGTATTCAATGTATGCTTGACTATTTTTCCTGATAAACTGACCAGTTAGTCGCTTACATTTGGGACCCACAAGGACCTGCCCAATTTAAAATAGTCGCCACAAGGCAGAAAAATTCTAATACAGTATCAGCATCATCAAATATATTTAATTTTTGTATTCCAATCCTTATATGTTTTGTCAAGCTGACTGTTGAGCAAAATAGAAAACGAAAGTCATCAATAGCTACATTACCTGTATACATGTGATATGTACAAGCATTATTCAGTGAACATGTGCACTTTTCTACGTAATAATTCATTGTGTCGAGGGACAGGCAGCCAGGTTATACATACAGTACTGTACATGTTAGGCTTATATCGAGGTCACCCCCAGGGTCGAATTACTGATCCTCCCCCAGGATGCAACCTTACAACAAGCTGACTAACTCCTGGGTACCTATTCACTGCTAGGTGGACAAAGCACGCCAAACCATTACTGTACCACCTGGGATTCAAACCCAGAATTCTCAATTGTGAGCCAAGAACAAACCCGACTGCTATTGGCACCCTACCATATTTACAAAATTGTTTAATTTAACAAATAATTGTTTGTAAAATAAACAAAAATAACAAAATTTGTTTGAATCCTTCTGAGACCAGGTCTCTCCCAAAACTCCTGGCACATTAGTAGTTAAAAGTAATTACAAGCACAGCACCCCAATTTGTATGAAGGCAATATTGTTAAATTCGAGCTCAGTAGCAGACAAGGTAACAATTTGTATGGTAACTGAGAGAAAACAATGTATAACAGGTATTATTTAAATAATATGAGGCAAGTTACAAAATAAATTACAAGAATTACAAAAAGCCATCATTTTGTAACTCTGGAACACACCATTGTAATCACACATTATAGCATAATGCCTGAAACTTCCAGACTAGTCAGCATAAGAATCATTCACTGCACTAAAAAGCCTGTGCAGCATAATGTTGGTAACCTCTGCATTGAACACACATTTGTACAGTAATTACACCACCTAATCTATGAAGCACTCTAGTTACCCAGCCTATGTATTATAAAAAAAAATAAGAATTTTTATCAATTTCACATTCTCCACACAGCCATTAATTATTTAATTAAATTGGACAGTGACCATGAAACACCATGCCTGACACTAGAAACAATAAATGGAAAATAACATTTACAACATAATTATCTTGATGCACATCATCTGACAATAACAAAAAAAAAAAAAAAAATGGAAGCAAAGCAATGCAATAGAAATCATACAAACAGTAATATCTACAAAACGCCTCTGCCACCTTCACCCCTGGCTTCTGCACACACACTCGGGATGCTGCAAATGGCTATTCTGCTAATATTATTTCACATTGCAGTTATTTCATTAATAATACTTCATGTATTTTGCACCACTATGTAGACAATCATCATTATAGTAATCTCTTTTCCCAATTTTGTAAGTCTGCATTATGTTGTTTCTTTCCAGATATTGCACACATTAAATTTTCATTTTTATTTTTAGTGAGAAAATACTGAAGTCATATTATGGGATCGAACAGGTATCCCTGAGCTTCCCAGGCGCATGCACTACCTACTGAGAGTTAGCATCAACAGGGTGAAATAAGAGTGGAGGTATGCTATGCAACTAGTGGTGTGCCTTAGGGGGCCTTCGTATTTTGTAATATATGTTAACAACCTAGATGTTGGGTGAAGAGTAATATCAGCAAGTTTGCAGATGACATGAAAGTGGGGGCAAAAAGTAAACTTGAATTGGAACTTAATGGAACTCGGAAAGACCTCGCCACAAGGGAAAAAATGCAGTTCAACAATGATAAGAGCAAAGCCCTATATAACACAAATGATAATGGAACTGTCTACTTGATGAATGTTGCAAAATTTGGACAAATAATTACAAATAAGAGTCTTTGGGGTCATGACTGGCAGTGACATAAGCATCAGCAGTGAATCAACATGAGAAACAAAGTACAGTGGTACCTCGCATAACGAATTTAATCCGTTCCAACGCCGCTGTCGTCATGTGAAACCGGCGTCATGCAAAACAATTTTCCCCACCCAAAACAATGTAAATACAAATAATCCGTTCCACCCCCTAAAACAACAATATGACATTATACACTGGTAATATTATACTGTACAAGTTAAATAAATGTTTGTTTGACTGTTTCCATGTGTATATTCACTTTACCTTATGAAGAGTCGTTGCTGGCTTGAGGGAGCCGATCGGGAGGGAGGGAGGAGAGGGCTTATGGGGAGGAGGGAGACACCACCTCTGGGTCAGGCGGGCTCGCTCTCTTTGGGAATTTAACCCCACTAGGACCGGGTTGTGGTTCAATATCACTAGCACGTCTCTTCCCACCCTGTCCACTGACCATATCGCGTGTCACTTGCTGTTGTCTTCGTTTGAGGATGTCCCTAAATCGAGACAGCACATTGTCATTAAACAGGTTCACGCACCGTGTTGTCACCGCCTTATCAGGGTGATGCTTTTCCGCAAATGCTGTCACCTTTTCGAACATGCCCAGCACGTCCCTGATCTCACTAGATGGGATAGCATCCTCGCAGACCTCCTCCTCCCCCGATGAGAGCTCCTGTACCTCCTGTTGCACCAGCTCTTTCTGCAGTTCCAGGAGTTCCTCGGTGGTCAGTTCATCACTGTGCTCCTCCACCAACTCCTGCACATCAGCAGCATCCACCTCCAGACCCAGTGTGTGTCCCAGAGCGACAATATCATCCACTAAAAGAGCCTCCGGGTCATCCACAGGTGCGGATGCAGATGCAGGTGCAGGACCGAAACCTTCGAAGTCTCGCTCAGGGACACCCTCAGGCCACAAGTTTCGCCATGCAGAGTGTAGGGTTCTCTGTGACACCCCTTCCCAGGCCTTATCTATCAAACGCAAGGCCCCCATGATATTGAACTGCTCCTTCCAGAATTGTCTGAGGGTCAGCTCTGTGGTGTCAATCACATGAACACATCTCTCCAACAAGGCCTTCATATAGAGCTTCTTAAAGTTAGCAATGACCTGCTGATCCATGGGTTGGAGGAGTGGCGTGGTGTTTGGAGGAAGAAACTTGATGGTGATAAACTGATTTTCAGGGAACAGATCATCTTGCAGTTGGCAAGGATGCGCAGGTGCATTATCGAGCACAAGCAAGGCCTTGAGTGGTAACTGCTTGTCGACGAGATAATTTCTCACTGTGGGGCCGAAAACGTCATTTACCCACTCACTAAAGAAGATCTGCGTGACCCAGGACCTCTTGTTCGACCTCCACATCACATTCAGCCGTGTCTTGTGACCCTTAAACGCCTTGAACACTCGTGGATTTTCTGAGTGATAGACGAGCAGCGGCTTGACCTTGCAATCACCACTTGCATTGGCGCAGAGCACGAGAGTAAGGCGATCCTTCATCGGTTTGTGGCCAGGCAATGATTGTTCCTCTTGCGTGATGTAGGTTCTCTTCGTCAGTTTTTTTCAAAAAAGGCCGGTCTCGTCACAATTGAAAACTTGTTGTGGCAGAAACTGCTCCTGATCAACAAATTTCTGGAACTCTGGCACAAAAGCCTCAGCAGCACCTTTATCAGAGCTGGCAGCCTCCCCATGTCGCACAACACTGTGTATACCACTCCTTTTCTTAAAGTTCTCAAACCAGCCACGGCTTGCCCTAAATACCTCCTCATCTTCAGACGACGCACCTGGTATCTTCCTGACAAGGTCCACATACAGCATCCTAGCCTTAGCGCAAACGATAGCTTCAGAGACACAATCGCCATGCAATTGTCGTTCATTCATCCACACCAGCAGTAGCCGTTCCACATCTTCCAGGAGTTTTGGACGTTTGCTGGTGAGCTTGCTAACTCCTTTGGCCATGTCAAGCGTCATATATTTATCCTTGCCCTTCAGTATGGTGGATATTGTTGAGGGAGCCCTGCCATACTCCCTGGCAAGATCAACCACACGAATACCACGCTCGTGCTTTGCTATGATCTCTTTCTTCACTTCCACAGTGATTGCCTCTTTCTTCCCCTTGCAAACTCCTGCTTTCGCAGGCTGCTTCTTGGACGACATCGTGCGTTCAGAATTGTAGTCACAAAACCACAAAAAAAACAAAACACGAATATCAGAATTGTGTGTGGAGCGATACAGACGGATACTGGTCGTGTGAGACACCAATACAACACTGTAGACAGTGGCGGCGTGACCCCACCATGTGGTGTTGACGTTACACAAACGAGCGTTCGTCATATGGGACGATTTCTCGCCGATCGGGCCAGTCGTTACCCAAAATATTCGCCTTGTGGGGCGATCGTTATGCAAGGTACCACTGTATATATAAAGCTTAGGTTTATGATTAGAAGCATCCTTGGAGTTACCTTACCTTGGAGTATTTCCGGGGCTTAGCGTCCTCGCCGCCCGGTCGTCAACCAGGCCTCCTCGTTGCTGGACTGGTCAACCAGGCTGTTTGACACGGCTGCTCGCAGCCTGACATATGAATCACAGCCTGGTTGATCAGGTATCCTTTGGAGGTGCTTATCCAGTTCTCTCTCTTGAACACTGAGTGGTCGGCCAGTTATGCCCCCTTATGTGTAGTGGAAGTGTGTTGAACAGTCTCGGGCCTCTGATGTTGATAGAGTTCTCTCTCAGAGTACCTGTTGCACCTCTGCTTTCCAACAGGGGTATTCTGCATATCCTGCCATGCCTCCTAGTCTCATGTGGTGTTATTTCTGTCTGCAGGTTTGGGACCAGCCCCTCTAATATTTTCCACGTATAAATTATTATGTATCTCTCCCGCCTGCACTCAAGAGAATACAGATTTAGGCTCTATAGTCGGTCCCAGTAGTTTAGATGTTTTACCGAGTGGATTCTAGCAGTAAAGGATCTCTGCACGCTCTCCAGGTCAGCAATTTCTCCAACTTTGAAAGGGGCTCTCATTGTGCAGCAGTACTCTATTCTAGAGAGCACTAGCATCTTGCAAAGTATCATCGGTATAGGATCTCTAGTGTGAAAGGTTCTTGTTATCCAACCTGTCATTTTTCTTGCAGTTGTGATGGCTACTTTACTGTGTTCCTTGAAGGTAAGGTCTTCCGACATGATTACACTCAAATCCTTTACATTGCCTTTTTGTTCTATTTTATGATTTGACTGCGTTTTGTACGTGGTTTCTGTTTTAATATTTTCATTTTTTCCGTAGCGCATGAGCTGGAACTTATCTTTGTTAAACACGAAGCTATAAATGAACAATGTTCTACAACTGTATGCTATGCCATCCAATTCATGTCACCATATTACAGCAGACACAAATTCTCCCAAGAAAATCCAATGTATCAGAACCAGACTGATTACTAGTATTCAGGCAGCCTCATCCTCTCGATTTGTCACATCACAAAAATGATTGACTAAATTGCCCGAACCTTACCTAACTACGGACCCATGAATAAAACACAGGACAGCCCATCAATTTTGCAAGCCACTATGATTTATTTATAAATCCCCAATGTCATATATTGACATTGGGGATCTATATATCAAAATGTGATGTACTATTTCAAGAGGATTATTTGATTCAGGACCTCCCAAATGAGGGGAGGTTAAGGGTATTATTATTATATTGTAACACAGTATTGCCTTGTGTTCCCTTGAGAGGAGCAGGATGAGGGAAGACATACTCTAAGTCTTGAAGTGGGCGAGAGGTATCAACAGGGTAGATATGAGAAACGTTTTGAAACTATCAGATCAGATTAAAACCCACAACAGTGACTATAACCTGAAAAAGTTCAGATTCAGGTAGAATATGGGAAAGTACTGGTTTCGCAGCAGTGGTAGACAAGTGGAATAGGATGCTGGCCAAAATTATTGAGGAAAATTATATAGATAACTGTAAAAATAGATTATACAGATACATGGGGAAGAAGGATTGGATCTAAATAAGGATCCCAGAAAGAGCCAACAGGCTTCTTGTTGTGACTCCTTATACTGTATTCTTATACATGTTTAAGAGTGTGATTTTAATACAAAATACTGGGTATCTTTAAAGAATAAAACAGTAGTAAATTTGTATGATTCTTCTGACACTTACAGAGAGAAAGGAAGGAAGGAAGGAAGGAAGGAAGAGCGAATTTATGTTATTGGTGTTAAGGATATCTAATATGCTTTGCAGTGGGTCCTCCTTCATACACAACAAATGACAGAATATATTAATGCCTCAACTTATTGCCTGCACTGCTCCATATTATTCAAATGTGTTCTCTGATCACAGGAAAACAAAAAAATTGTGACTTTCTTTGGCTGTGGTAACATCCGGAAGTCTCGCAATTCATGAGCGTTAATGCAGCATTCACCCTGTGGCAGTATCTGCGGCTGTGCCGTGGGGCAGTTGCTGCTGCAAAGATATTTTTAGATATTTATTTCAATGTTTCTGATTTGTTTTTCTCTCTGAGTTTTTTCCATTAATAATTAATAATTCAATAGTTTACCATTTGAGAAATTTATATAATAAAATGTATGGAACATTGGAATGCTCAAATATACTTGTCGCTAAATGCACACAATATTATATTCTTTGAACAATAAATCATACAATTTTGCTGTTAGAACACTATACAGTGGAACCTTTGTCTATGAATGCCACAGAGTATGAATTTTTTGGTGGACAACGTCATTTTAGTCAAAATATTTGACCTGGAGTACGATTTGTTTCTTGATACTTGTATGGGTCAGGCACGAGGCTTCTCCTGGTGAGGTACGCTCAGTTTACCAGTGCATCCCACCTAGTGACGACCGTTCTTAAATTCTTTGTGAAGAATTTTATTACAGTATTTTTCTGTTTTTTTTTTATTTCTTAATAGAAATGTTCTTATTATATATCACATCAAGGGTCCTCATGGCATGATATGTACTGTGAAGAACAGCATCGTTTTGCTGAAAAGATTCGCCCAGATAAAGCTGTAGCAGGCCGTTGCAATAACCTTTTTAATGACAATGTGATGTCTCACTACAGACAAGTTTAAAACATAGCGAAAAACAAGTCTATAGACAGATTCTTAGTGAGAAGTAAGTAAGTAATTATCAAAAGAAGGCACCAAACCGGGAAGGCTATGTAGCACCATCAAATGCGCAGAATAATCAGAGGGTGCTAAATATCACCAAGGATGCCAATACGAGAACAAAAACGCATAAGGCGAACGATATCAAAAGTATCCGAGTCACCAAGAATTCTATTGAGGGACAAGTGACCGCGAGGGGCGGTCGGTTCTTAGTAAGAAACAACCTAGTGGTATGCCTACAGAAATGTAGGAGAAAGAGTGTACCCCCAGAAATGTTATCACTGCCTGATGTTATAATGGTAGGGGACTTGCCTTCCAAACACTTACACCTACCCCCCCTCCTCACTGTCTTCCATATGCCAACAAGAGTCCTCAGTAAAGGTAAGGTACTGTATAGTAAAAAAATATGAGTAGTATTCTGTATAAAATGTATTTTTAAGTTAAAATTTTTGGGTATGTTGAACAGATTAATTCAATTTACATTATTTCTTATGGTTAAATTTTATTTGGGGTACGAATATACGGTTTACGATCAGTCTCTTGGAATGGATTAAATTTCTTACCGAGGTTCCACTGTATACATACATCATGTAACTATCTACATTTGATGCACCATTTCAAAACCAAGTAGATCTGGTGGGTGTAATAACCTTGTAACTAGTTATCAGAGTTCAGCCTAGCTCCGCAATTTTTTTGCATTAAATTGTAACTGTACGCACTGAATTCTATATTTTATATTTTCTTTGTATTTTTAATGCTTTACAATGATTTTTCTGAAGTGCAATGATGCATTAAGCTGTCAATAATGTTATTTGTATCACATATGTAGAACGTTGGTATGCATATATATATTTATGCCACTAATATGCGCACAATATTATATTCTTTGAACAATGAAAGTTTTTTATTTTATTACACTATATGCACACATGATATATGTATCTACATATTTATGCACCATAATGAATCACTAAGCAATTCTGGTGGGTGTGATAATGAAATCCAAGCACAGTATAGCACCACACACTACCACCAGATATCATCAGCAGATGAAACCAGCTGATGCAGCAAAATGCCTACAGTATACTGTACTATGCACATCACTAGCTTTAGCCATAACACTGCTATTATCATCAGATTCCTGTCACTAAATCATGAATATGAATCATTTTCCACGTTTATTATCTAAACCGAACATGAGGTCCCATTTCATGATGGAATGATATATGAAACTGCAACTGTGGTGTGAACATTGTGACCATCATTGTGTTCACCGATATCTGAATCACTAAATGTGCAACCACTTGGACTGGATGGTAGAGCGATGGTCTCGCTTCATGCAGGTCGGCGTTCAATCCCGACCATCCAAGTGGTTGGGCACCATTCCTTTTCCCCATCCCATCCCAAATTCTTATCCTGACCCTTTCCAAGGAGTCCGTAGAATTACCCAAATCCTGCTAGTTTTACATAAGTAATGAAGAAATATGGTATATTTACTCACTATAATGTTGGTGCTGAATGCAGAACATGATCAAACCTATTTTTACTCTGAAATAATCTAATTTCATAACTAAATTAGAAGTAAATATGTAACAGGTAATGCGATAAGAAGTTGACGGTCCAAGTGATAATGTTGTGGAGCAATATCCAAGATAAGTATCTTAGATAAGTATCTTATCCAACGCCAATGGGTATGAAAAGTTCGTCTAACATTACCTAGCCCAAACTAACCTAACCTAACCCAGAGTAACCTTACCTAAATTTGCGACAATTTGAGCAAAGAAGTGCGACGACTGGATCACTGTGTACAGGAGGCTGATATGCCAGCAAACATTCCAGGCGACCATATATCTTGGATAAGTCGCTCCACAACATTGTCCCTTGGACCGTCGACTTCTTATGGCATCACCTGCTACCTATTTACTTCTAATTTAGTTATGAAATTAGATTATTTCAGAGTAAAAATAGGTTTGATCATGTTTTGCATTCAGCACCAACATTATAGTGAGTAAATATACCATATTTCATCATTACTTATGTAATGCTAGCAGGATTTGGGTAAATTTGGGTAATTTTATGGACCGTTTCCAAGTGCTAAATACTGTATATGTACAGTGGAACCTCGAGTGACGAGCGGCTCCAGTTGCAAGCAAGCCACTTGCAGAAAATATGTCTCGACTGACGAGTTTTCGCTCAATTAACGAGCGTGACCGTTGGTTCTCTGACACCTCCGACGACAGTTTTCTTGTTGTTTCGCAAGACAAGTTTTCCACATGACAAGCTCGGTGCTGAAACAGATTAAACTTGTTAATCGAGGCGCCACTGTAGTTGTAAATGGCTTGGTGCTCTTCCCCCTGATAATTCACTCCCTCACTGATATCTGAACCTTGTACATAGTCTATCACAGTCAAGGTCTTTTATAATCACAAGGTCTTTCTTTCGTCACAAAATAATTGCAGTTATTTTTCATCTTTTTTAAAGTGATGCTGTGAGCACAATTTGCACGGTGGTGTTGTGAGCTCCTGCAGTAGCTGTGAGGTAGTACATACTGCAGCAATTATAATGAGGTCGTCACACCCAGGAAGGGTGCCCAAGATTTCTATCCCAGATGGTGTCTGCTTTCTGGAGGCCTTGGGAAGCAAATGTGAGCCTCGTGTAGACACGTGACTTTTAAATCATACGTGGTACTTTAAATCATTCCTTATTGACTTACGCAGTATAGCACATCATCCCTGTTTGACACGTGCAATTGAAGGGTTGATAATTTTAGAAAAGATGATTCTGAAATCTGTTTCACCAATTTCTAAATACTTACCACCAAATAATTTCTTAATAAATTAAGAATGATAAAATACATACATCATGATGTCCAACAGTTAGAATATGACATTCATTTGTGATAAATTCCAATTACTTTGATACAGAAAACTAAAACCTTTAAAAAGTATACAAGTTTCAGATATTATCATATAAAGGAGTAACCAAATCAAAGATCTTTTAATTATAATGTCCGAACACGTAAAACTTAGAGAACACAACAAGGCAAATGTACCAACCAGAAAATGAGGGTGGATAATGAGAACATTAAGAACAACAAGGGATAAATTGTTGTAGGTTGCCTTCTTGCTTGATACTGTAGATCCTGCAATGTGTAGTTCTTGAAAATTTACATAATCTAATCTCTGGTGATCTGGATTTCTGTCCGGATATGGCAGAGTTTTGCCCGAAAATTATCCAGACTCAACTTAAACTCTCTGCCAGTCTGCATTATCCAGCCAAAACTCCTGTCATCTAGATTTTTGTACGGATATGGCAAAGTTTTGCCAGAAAACTATCCACATGCAATTTTGGCAGGATAAGCCGAATACTGAGTTCTGCGGGCTCATACAGTATTGTTATATCCTCACATTCAGAGGTTCTTAACTATCCACATAGAATCAGAGAAACACTTATACAGTGACACCTCAACTTACGAATGCCCCTTTTTACAAACTTTTCGGGTTACGAGCCCAATTTCTTCGTAAAATTCGAATCAGGTTACAAACTTTACCTCGGGTAACGTAGTTTGTTGATACGCATATGGCCGACATAGCGTGTGGTGGCACGGAGACAGCATCTCAGTTTACCAGTGCCTCTCGCCTAGTGACAATCACGCTTAAATTCTTTGTAAAGAACTTCAGTGTTTTTTGGATTTTTGGGTATTTGAACATAAAAGTTATTATTATATATATCTCGCCATGGGTCCCAAGAAAGGCAGTGGTAAGGTTCAATCCAAGAAAACACATGTGAGGATGACTATAGAGGAAAAACAAGAGATCATTCATAAACATGAAAATGGTACATGGGTTATTGAACTAGCTAGGCAGTACAACAAATCTCTGTCAACGATATGTACTGTAATTGCTAAGAAAAAGGACATTATGAGTGCTAAAGTGGCAAAAGGCGTATCAACAATCACAAAACAAAGAAGACAAACACTTGATGTTGAAAAGTTGTTATTAATTTGGATACACACCAAGGAGTTAGGAAGTGACAGTGTTTCAGAGGCCATCATTTGTGAAAAAGCAAGGCCTGCATGAAGACTTTTTAAAGAAACCCCCTGGAACAAGTGATGCAGATACGAAAGAGTTTAAGGTGAGCAGGGGGTGGTTTGAGAAATTTAGAAAAAGAAGTGGCAATAACAGTGTTGTGAGAGTTATGAGTGTTGTGTGTTGTGAGTTGGAGGAACACAGTGAAGAACTGACCACCGAAGAACTCCTAGCCCTTCACAAGGAGCAGCAACAAGAGGCAGCCAAGGAAATTTCTTCAGGGGAGGAGGAGGCAGTACAGACTGTCCCTTCCTCAACAATTAAGAAGTGGTGTAGACTATGGGAAGAAATGTAAACTTTTGTTGAAACGACTCATCCAGGCAAGTTGTGGTGGGCCGTTGCCTTAACATTTTTAATGACACTGTAATGCCTCACTACAGACAAGTGTTAAAACGAAGGGAAAAACAAGCCTCTGTGGATAGATTTTTAGTGAGAAAAACAAGCAGTAAGCCACAAGCAGGTCCTAGTGGTATGCAGGTAAAACGTACCAGAGAGAGGACCCCAGAGAAGTCATTGCTGCCTGATGTTATAATGGAAGGGAACTCCCCCTTCCAAATACTAACATCTCTCCTTCTCCTCCCACCCTCCTCACTGTCTTCCATACGCCAACAATAAAGGTAAGCAATAACTTGTACATACTTTTGTACTAAAGATTTGGGTGAATTAGGTATCAAATTTACTTTGAAGTTAATATTTTTTGGGCGTGTGGAACAGATTAATTAAATTTACATTATTTCTTATAGGAAAATTCGCTTTGGTTTACGAATTTTCGGGTTACAAACCATTTCTGGGAACAGATTAAATTTGTAAGCTGAGGTACCACTCTACTGGGACTGCCTGAAAACAACAAAATTGTCTGCTTGAAACAGACAAAAACAAATTCTCATATATGCATGGAAAATACTGAATGGTCAGATCTCAAAACAGCACAATGAAATTACAACATACTGAAGTGAGAGATAAGGTAGAAAGTGTAAAATCTAATGAAACATCAGGAATCATAGACATGATTAGAGAACACATTGTAAACATCAAAGGTCCACGATGCTTCAAACCTCCTTCAAAAATATATAAGATATCTCGGTAATACAAAAAGTTTCACAAGAGACCTTGACAAGTTTCCACTGGATCAACCTGGATGCGATGACTATGTGCGCCTGCAGACAATGAAGACAAACAGCCTCGTAGACCAGGAAAGACTGGCCCCAAACAAGACTGGGATAAGAAAAGATCTATCAGAATCATCAACAGGTAATCAACTAAAACATCGCCAACATGTAATCAACTAAGACAATTTATTTTGTCCAAATCTGTCAACAGACAACCTCAAAATATTTTGTATATACTAATAAGTTATTGCTGTACATTAAGTAAAAAATATATTATAATTATGATAAATTTAAAGAGCACCATGACTATCATTGATGAGTAATTTAAATAGCTATTTTAGCCCATGTCATCAATGATGAGTCTAAACTGCTGCTATACTTCATATTCACTCTTTACAAAGGACATTATGTAAATCTAAATACAGAGCCACCTCTTTTATGGAATTTCACATTCATTAAGTACAAATCCAGAACAAGTCAACTGGACAATTTGCCAAACACTGACAGAAGAAATATGGGGGAATGCTAAAGATGCCAAAAATTGCAATTCTAAATGCATCAAGTCAGGTACAACACTAACTTATATAAATGTCGTATATAGATTCAGATCAATCAATACATCTCATATTTATATTTAATTACAACATTAATATTATTATTATTATAATTATCATCAGTATTACTTTTACTGAGCTGAGCTTAGCAGTTAAAACGTTATGTTCACCAAGTAACATTCCAGAGAGTTTGAGCTGTCTTGAGCCAAGAGTCAAGATTGAAAGAGCATTGGCTACTTACTGAAGACTATAATGAACAAAAAAATTTGCCAATTCAATTTAGTTGGTGAGCAATGATTGAATGCAATCTTGTCTGTAACCCAGTCCTCAAAACATGTACCCAGTCCTCAAAACATGTACCCAGTCCTCAAAGCATGTACCCAGTCCTCAAAGCATGTACCCAGTCCTCAAAACATATATCCAGTGCTCAAAACATGTGCCCAGTTCTCAAAACATGTACCCAGTCCTCAAAGCATGTACCCAGTCATCAAAACATGTACCCAGTCCTCAAAACATGTACCCAGTCCTCAAAGCATGTACCCAGTCATCAAAACATGTATCCAGTCCTCAAAGCATGTACCCAGTCCTCAAAACATGTACCCAGTCATCAAAATATGTACCCAGTCCTCAAAGCATGTACCCAGTCCTCAAAATATGTACCCAGTCATCAAAGCATGTACCCAGTCATCAAAGCATATACCCAGTTATCAAAGCATGTACCCAGTCATCAAAGCATGTACCCAGTCATCAAAGCATATACCCAGTTATCAAAGCATATACCCAGTCATCAAAGCATATACCCAGTTATCAAAGCATATACCCAGTCATCAAAGCATATACCCAGTTATCAAAGCATATACCCAGTTATCAAAGCATATACCCAGTCATCAAAGCATATACCCAGTTATCAAAGCATATACCCAGTCATCAAAGCATATACCCAGTTATCAAAGCATATACCCAGTCATCAAAGCATATACCCAGTTATCAAAGCATATACCCAGTCATCAAAGCATATACCCAGTTATCAAAGCATATACCCAGTCATCAAAGCATATACCCAGTTATCAAAGCATATACCCAGTCATCAAAGCATATACCCAGTTATCAAAGCATATACCCAGTTATCAAAGCATGTACCCAGTCATCAAAGCATATACCCAGTTATCAAAGCATATACCCAGTTATCAAAGCATATACCCAGTTATCAAAGCATATACCCAGTTATCAAAGCATGTACCCAGTCATCAAAGCATATACCCAGTTATCAAAGCATATACCCAGTTATCAAAGCATATACCCAGTTATCAAAGCATATACCCAGTTATCAAAGCATATACCCAGTTATCAAAGCATATACCCAGTTATCAAAGCATGTACCCAGTCATCAAAGCATATACCCAGTTATCAAAGCATATACCCAGTTATCAAAGCATATACCCAGTTATCAAAGCATATACCCAGTTATCAAAGCATATACCCAGTTATCAAAGCATGTACTCAAACCTCACGAGAAAGAATATTAATAAATTCCACAGAGTACCCATTCCCCATTTTTTTTATTATACATATACTTTACACTCAACTCATTCCATTTAAACTTTCTTATAAAAAAAAAAATCCTAAATATTAGCACTTAAAACATACTTCTCAAAATTCTTCAACTCGCTGAAATCTAATTAACAAATTAAGCAGCAATACAGGTAATATAAATTCAAACTGTCAATAATCAACACTAAAATGTTATAATTGTTTTCAAAGTAAAAATCAGAAGATCGCAAGTTAACATGAGCCTAACATGTTAACATTTTATTCATTGGTCCTAAAATTATGAATTGCATTTACAAATTAATTTTGGAGGAATGATTCAAAGCATATACAGCATTTTAATACTGTAATACAGAATATATATTTTGTTCAAAATTGAACTGAAAGTAGCTGCAAAAAAAATTATCTAAATATTACTAATTAAATGGCAAACTTATTGAAAAAATAAAGTAAGTAATGTAGGGTCTTTGATATCATTAACAAGATTTAAAATGCTCTCCTCACACTGAAACATCATTTACTTAGTGATGACCAAACCTCAACTCAGAACATGGAGAAGTGACAACGTTTATGTCCATCCTGGACCATTATCAAGTCATGTGACTTGATAATAGTCCAGGACGGACCAAAATGTTATCACTTCTCCGTTTTCCGAGTTGTGGTTTGGCCATCATTTCTTCAGCCATGTGACTCATCGTCTGCATTATTTACTTAGCCATGCCATGTGTTCTTATTCAGCTTTATAATGTATATAAAAACATATTCTAAATATGAAAATGTGCAAAAGTAGGAAGAAGTTTGATATATACACAGCAAATAAGCCCTGTAGCAGTATATTTACACAAGTGAAGCATACAGTCTCCATATATAAATGAATAATTTTGCTTAGAAAATGCATCATAAGACAAACTTTCATCACTTAATGTAAAAACCATTATAAAATAGTGGAGTGGAGAATTTTTACTTAACTTTGCCAATTGCAACAAAAGGCAAAACACAAAACAAACTAAAGCTAGAGTTTTGCATGATGGGGCCGACACCAAGATGCACGTCTAAAATCTAGTAATTAATAAGAGGATTTTGCAAATCCACTTTAATTTCTTTCCAAATAATAATTTTTTTCTTGAGATAATAGAAGCTCAACTGTCACTACCTTACATAATGAAAATTTTCTTTTCTTTGAGCATAAACTATGTCCCACAATCATAGCAAATATATGGAACATTATATTCAGAAACCTTAGTATTTATACATGTTCTTTTAAATCATTCACTCAAAGAACAGAAGGGCTTCGTAACTTTGAAGGACCCTGAAACTGGTTGTGGAACACTTTGACTCTGCAAAACTATAAGCAGATTTTATTTCTGAATATCTTAAATTGTTATTGCTAAACTTCAGCCTAGCATAATATTTACAAAAATAATTAAAAGATTTGTCCATTTACATTAATAATATGCAATATCCCTCATCCAAGTTTTACTTCAACAAAGATATAGGTTGATACACTACCAGGTATAGATGAACGGCCTCATTATGGCCTTGTGCATCTCTTGTCTCACCTGGTATAGTACACACGATAATACAGTGTCTTGCTTCGCCAGAGAGAATACGAATTATCAAATTTGAGAAGGTAAACACCTGTACCAGGATAAGTGTGAGAGCCAGCATACACTTCTTCATAGCAATCGCGACGGTATACTGGAATAATCACCGACTGTGCTGGTCTACCATTTTCATGCTTCCTTCCCGCCAGCCGCTCAACATCATCGCCTTCACCTACAACAGGTCAAATTAGTTAAAAAATTAACTGATGACATGAAAACAGAAATAAAGAATAGATGATCCTTTTCATCACTCTGCATATAGTGAACAGACATAAAAGTACCGAGAGAAATGTCCAGCATAAATTAACTAGAACTGTACACAGACCTTTAATTGAGGTTATTTTGACCCTTCATTTTCCCTTAAGTTAATTTGTAATGAAATTTATTCAGTCTTCCAAACTACAGGCTTGTTCAGCATTGTTCCCTATTGTTCCCTATCAATAAAAAACAGTGTTCAATATAATAAAACACCTCTTTCTGGTAGGGTCTCAGTGGCTTCCTGAAGCCATCTTACCAAGATGGCTCCCTCCAACTGAGTCACATCAGCCATAGGAGTCCTGTCTTGTATGGCATACCAGGGACCAGAGCAGTGGATTGTTATGATCACCCTCATTGAAAAAAACATTCAGAAAACAAGTGGAGCAATAAATACATTGGCATAGTTCTTACAAAACAATTCACTGAAATAAACAAACAACTCTGTAAACGATTTTCTTCAAAATGAGCACGACCCCCCTCTAATTATGACTGGCCACCAACTAGTGTCAGCACCCCAGGAGCTCCCGGGTTTTACGCCATATTGCCTCAGTCAAGAGTTGATTTATCAGTAATCAACTTTCGGTAGGGGGAGGGGATGGAACAAGGGAACCTACCAAGGCTTTATCAGAAAGAGATGTTTCATTATATTCAATGCTGGTTTTTACGAGTCCTCGGTGGCTTCCTGAAGCTAAAACAGAGAAGACAGAAAGCATGGGACTTAGCAGGTAGAAGGAAAGTGGCAACAATGACACTTATGGAGACAAGATATTAGGATATGAAACCCAACCTAGGGCAACACAAAACTGACTAGAACCAGGAACATTGACTAAATAATGACCCCCTGTTACAGTGCCAAAACCCCCAAGCCCAAACAACCAACCCATGATACGTTAAGAGAACACAGCAGTGAAAGCCACAAACTTAAAAAATTCATGGACCTAAGAGAAGACTGCAGGCTGGCAAGACTTAATGATACTGCAGACAACCTAGATAAGCAAACCCAGGAAAAGGGACCCAAGGAAACTGGATAAACAAACATTGCATTCAATGAAGCAGACTTGAACCAGTGCCTTAAGAAAATAAGCACAGTAGCATTAGAAATACTGTATGTACAAGTCACATACACACCACTAAGGAGAAAGAGAAAAAGATGTAAACTGGAAAGAGAATGGCATTCTCTCTTCAGGCAATGAAAACAAATGGCAGAACATCTTAAACACTCAACTCTTTCCCAAGAATTACAAAGAAAGCTATGTAGAGAAATAGAAATGCTTCACCTAAAGTTGCATGAATCGTATAAATTCCAGGAGCTACAGAGAGAGCAAGAGGCTATAAGCAAAACAAAGGAATCCAAAATACTTTTTATCCTAAGCAAAATTTAGAAGCAAAAAACCAGCGTTGAATGTAATGAAACGCCAATTTCTGGGCGAGTCTCGGAGGCTCCCCGGAGCTTACTAGGCTGATATGCTAATGTCAGACTTTGGCATCAGTCATGAGTATGGAGTTCTTATGGGCCTACCGGGGACCACAAACCAGAACCTGGCTCCCTCTAGAGAAGTAAAGGGAGCAATGGCCTATAGAAACCCCAGTGTAATTGGAAGCATTCTATGTCTGTCATCGACCGGGTTAGGCACCCAGAAAGGTAGCCGTCCCAAAACAAACCCCTATTCTGGTGAAAATTGCAACCCAAAGCCGAATGAGTGGATAGAACTCCCCAAACAAAAACGAGCAAACTAATATGATGTCATCCGTCATCGTGCTGCTGTCTGCACAGCCCTTCCCTCCCCAGGAGGGGAAAGACGCAGCCCTAGACCTACCGTGTTGGTGATCCACACCCCAGTTCTGAGGCTGGATGTCAAAACACGCGAAAAAAACGCCAACCGAAGGGAGGGAGGGATGCCGGAGAGCCTCTGGGATTCACCCAGAAAATGGTGTTTCATTACATTCCACGCTGGTTTTCTCGGGGGAGCCCCTACGGCTCCCGGGAGCTAACTACCCACAGAGGAAAAGAATAGGGACTTACCGGGAGGTGGGTGCTGCTCACTCCTCAACCCGAAGTCGAGACTACTGGATGCATCTGCCGACCGACATAAAGCGACACAGGCCCGACCGGGCCCAGGAACGTTTACAAGGCAACGAGCAGCCAGGATCCTGTTCGACCGCCAAAATCACCGTACCCGAATGTCAGTCCAGGACAAATTGCCAAAGACAGCGGCAAGAGCCGCGAACTTGCGGACGTCATGGGCAAGGGGATAAACCGCAGGCTGGCTAGCCTTAACCCTGCGGACTACCAGGGAGACCCGCACCCTCGAACAGGGAAGAAGGGAAACTGGATCAACCCAAAGCGCATCCATGGACACAGAAGCCGTGGCGCGCAAATAACGGAGGAGAGCCGCAACTGGACACAAAACATGATGCACCCCCGGTTGAACCAACCAAGCATCAACAATCTAGGGACCCCTCCGGAATGCAGCATTCTCATTCTTCGCCAGAAAAGAAGGAGGAGCCTGCAGACGAACAAACTGATCACCCCGACCAAAGGAGCAGAAACCTCTGCGCTGGAGGACAGCATGAAGCTCACCCACCCAACCCCCAAAGGCCAACTCCAACAGGAAAAGAGCCTTCAAAAAACAATCTGGAACCGAAGGGGCCACAACAAAACGAGGAGAAGAAAGGAGAGAGAGCACTCTGTCCAATGACCAGGGTGGCTCAGGTGGCGCATGAGCAGGCCGGAGGTGAAACAACGCCCGAGACAACTTGCAAAACGGCACAGACGTGACATCAATACCAAAAGCAAGCTGAAGCGGCTCCGCCAGCGCAGCACGATACGAGGCGACAGTGTTAGGCATAAGATGATGGTCCTGGAACAACCAAGCGAGAAAAGACATCACCACCTTAACAGAAAGGGAAGTACAATGACGAAGACATAAGAAGAACCGGAAGGACCGGAAGGACCGGAAGGACCGCCAGGAAACTTCATACTGCCGCCAAGACGAAGCCAGTAAGTGGGACACTAAAAAGGAAGCCACCTGATCACCATAGAGATGATGATAAACTCGAGTCAAAAATACCATATGCGAAGACTCGAGGAGAAGATTGAACCATCCATGTAACGCACTGGTCCGATCTGCTGAAACAGGCGGAGCTGCGGAAAAACCTCCGGGTTCGGACACCGAGCAAGCAGCGCCTGAAACCACGGCTGGGCTGGCGACCAAGAGGGCCAAGAGGACAACTCTCTCCTGGTAAGTCTCTAAGCGAGTCAGGACCTGGAGCAACAGCTGAACTGGGAAAAAGAGATACAGGAACCCACACCTCGACCAGTCCTGCTGAAAGGCGTCGACCCCGACGGCCTCGCAGTCGGGGAAGGGCACCACATACATGGGAAGGGGTGCCGCGACCACGCCGATGCGAAGAAGTCCACCTCGGGGCGTCCGAACGTCTGGCAAAGCCAACAGCCTCGAGGAGTCGGCGTCGACCATCCATTCCGTGGAGAGGGGCACGAAACGAGACAGGCCGTCGGCCAAGATGTTGGACACTCCCCCCACGTGAACTGCCAGGAGAGCCAAACCCCAAGAACTCAGCAGATGAGTCACCCGAAGCAACCAGCACCAGAGAGCCAAGAACCGCATCGAACCCCCACACCCCCCCGGTTCAGACAATGAACCACCGGGGAGCAGTTTGAATGGAGCCGGATTGTTGACCTGCGGGCGACTCGTATCCTCGAAGAGCAAACCACACCGCCGCGAACTCCCGCACAGTGCTGTGGGCGCAACGGAAGGACTGACCCCACAGACCCTGGCCGGCCTGGTGAGCACTGTTCACAAAGCCCCAGCCAAGAGACGATGTGTCCGTGAACACATCGAGCGAGGGGCTCGGGCAGGCGCCAAGGCACCGAACCCTGAAAAACCCAAAGAGGAAGATGGCGACGCAGCAGCCGACGCCCCTCAGAAATATGCGCAAGCGGTACCACAGCCAAAGGAGAGACTCCGGAGGAAGAGACAAGGAAGCGGTCTGAGAGTCCCACACAAGACCAATCCATGACCAAATCTGAGGGCACCAGATGGGACTTCCTCCAGCTCACCAAGAACCCGAACCTGGCGAGCTGGGAAAGAACAAAATCCCTGGCTAGCAGACAACTGAACCGGCTGGGAGACCAAACCAGCCAGTCGTCGAGGTGGGGCAACACCCGAACACCTAAAAGACGCAGACGGGCCACGAGAACCCGCATAAGGCGTGTGAACACGCGAGGCGCCAGAATCAACCTGAACGGGAGACAACGAAAGCGGTAACCTTCACGCCCCACAACAAAACCGAGCCAGTCCCTGAACCCCAGATGAACCGGCATGTGCCAATAAGTGTCCCGGATGTCCAGGGACACCATCCAAGAACCCGGCTCCAACAGGAGCCGAACCTGAGACAGCATAGTCATCCGAAAGGAGGGGCAATGAACCCAGGGGTTCAGATGAGACAAGTCCAGAATGAACCTCAGGTCTGCACAGTCCCGTTTCGGCACTGGAAACCGACAGGAAACCTATCTGAGGGATGACATTGTTTCGACGACGCCCAAGTGAACCCACTCCAAGACGACTCGACAGAGCGCAGGAAAAGCAGCCTGCCCTGCCAGCCCCGAACCCCCCGAAGGAAGAGGGGCCACCCAACGCCACCGCAGACCAAAGGAAATGACCCGAAACGCCCACAAATCGTGGGACCAGGCATGAGCAAAAAGTGCAAGCCATTCCCCCATTGCCCCGTCAATGGGGCGAACCACGAAAGGGCCGGCGCCCCTTACGAGACCCAGAACCCCGCACAGGGCGAACACCGCGCCGACCAGCCGACGGTGGGTCTGAAGGCGGAGCTAAGCCCGAACCTGGCACCAGTGGTCTACCATGATGAGTGGAACCCCGAGCCCTGGCACGACCCCTCCTGGTAGGCCCTTTCCCTCGGGACCCCCGGAGAACCAACAAGTCCAACATCAGACGGCAACTGGCTGAAGCAGCCTGAATAAACAGGAGTACCTCGGTTTAATCCGAGTTTAACCCGTTCCTGGAGACAGCTCGTAACCCAAAAACTCGTAAACCGAAGCTAATTTCCCCATAATAAATAATGGGAAATGAATTAATCTGTTCCTGACTACCCAAAACTTCCCTTCAAACTAAATTTTATACCTAATTCATCCAAATCTACACTACAAAAGTATGTTCGTTATTACTTACCCTTGCTGATGACTCCTGTTGGTGTTTCGAAGATGGTGAGGAGAGGGGAGGAGGAGAGGTGTTACTGTTTGGAGGGGAAATCCCCTTCCATTATAATATCAGGCTGTGAAGATTTCTCTGGAGTACACTCTCTGGCACATTTTGCATGCATACCACTAGGTCCTGGTTGTGGCTCACTACTAGATTTTCTCACTTCTCACAAGGAGATGTTCCATTGAAGATTGTTTTCCCTTCTTTGCAACACTTATCTGTAGTGAGGCATCACATTGTCATTAAAAAGATCAATGTAACGACCTACTACAGCTTTATCTGGGCGATTCTTTTCAGCAAAACTTTGCAGCCTTTCCCATACTACATACATTTTCTTAATTAATGAGGAAGGGACATTCTCTACTGCCTCCTCTTCTTCCCCTGAAGATTTGTTGTACTAACTAGCTAGTTCAACAACACGAGTACCATTTTCATGCTTCCGAATGATCTCTTGTTTTTCCCCCTATTGTCATCCTCACATGCAATTTCTTGCCTTGAACCTTACCATTGGCTTTCTTGGGACCCATGGCAAGATATATAATAACAACTTTTATGCTCAAATGACCCAAAATCCGACAAAAACTGTAAATTCTCGTGAAGAATTCAGGCGGGATAGTCACTGGGCGCAAGGCACTGGTAAACTGAGGCACGATCTCCGTGCCAACATCCGCTAGGTCGGCCCGTACGCATATCAACAAACTTGTTACCTGATACAATGCTCGTATCCCGATGCAAATTTTCCAACCAATTCAGGCTCGTAACCCGAAAAATTTGTAAACAGGGATGCTCGTACCCCGAAAAATTCGTAAACAGGGATGCTCATAACCCGGGGTTCCACTGTACTGCGCTGCGGCCGCAGGAGCAAAAAACAGAGCACAAAAGGGTGAAGACATCCTAAGAGCCAGGGCCCAGGTTGATTCCAGAGAGAAGGCAAGCACCGCAGTTGACACGCGAGCCGGGAAGCATAAACTGGGCAGCCGAATCCCGCAAGATCGGTGCAAACAGCTTCAACAAGGCAGACGACGCGCAAGCAGCCGAGCCCAAGCACTGGACCCCAGAACGGCCCGGAGCGCCCCCCACATCCTCCCCAAGCCAGTCCAAAGACAGCTCCAGGAGGGAAAAGAAGCGCAAGGCCGAAGCCAAGAGGCCCCTGGCATGCAAATCCTCAGCTACCTGCGCAGCCGAAAGGGAGGGAACCTGCACATGGAGTTGCAGAGTACCAACTGCAACTCGGGAAACCTTACCTTTCTCGGGAAAGGCCATGCAGGAGCAAACAAGCACTCATTGAGGTGCTCAAGGTTGTCCACTCCCCCCCCCCCCCCAGGAAAACCTGAACCACAGTCGAAACCTTGCTCCACTCAAGCGTGCGGGAACGACAGAAAGAATGCCAGGCCTCCAAGGCACAGATAGAACAGTCTGCCAGCCAGAACGACTCCGGAACCTCGTAACAGACCCAGAAAGAGAACAAAGTCCGAAACCTGAAAGACGACGGATTCATCACCGAGGCGTAATCCGGGTCACGCAGGAGGTAAGCTGCTAGGGCCGTCCGCACCGCAGATGGTTGGATGCGGGAAGCCGAAAACCTCCGGAAAGACGGAACCGTTGACACCGAGGGAACACGGAACGGAACCCGGGGAGGGCCAAACACCACATCCAAGTCGTACGCAGAGGGGGGGGGGAAAAAAAAGAGAACCCCACTCCTTGTAACAATAAGCCCCGCTCCGAGGGTAGAAAAACCAAGGTGGGGTCCAGCAGGACCCAAGTCCCCCAAGTCAGCCCCTCCCCAGCCCCAGGATCCCCCTCCTCGGGACCTGGGGCCAAGTCATGCTCCAAAGCACTGGCCCCTATAGAAAAGGCAGGCGTAGCCGAAAGAAATGAACAGAAGGGGGCCCACTGGTCAGACCCAGAGGCTTCAGCAGGGAGATTGGACTCGAAGGCCTCCGTTGTCACACCAGAAGGGGCATCCCACGAGACCGCCCAAGACTCAAGACCATCTAAATGCGGCCCCGATTCCGAAACCCTCAGACGCTTCAGAGCCGGAAGAACGGGGGGGGGGGGGGGGGGGGGGGGTCAGAACAAACCACTGAAGGGGAATTACGAGGAGCCGCAGACTGATCCAGGGTCGATGCGACCCCCCCCAAGTCTGGGTTCCCATAAGCAAAACGGGGCAGCCTCGGGGCATCTGGGTGAGCAACCAACTGAGGTCATTGCAACAGCCGAAAGCGTACATGCAACACCTGCGTTGCCTGTACCCATAGAAGATCATCATTAGACTGGGTACATTGAGTCACCAGCAATAAACAGAACTCGCAGGACTCAGGGTCGAAAGTGTCACTGACCCAACAGGCAGCATGACGGAAGCAAAAACCGTGAGGGTCACCTCGAGTCAAGGGGACCGAGCAACCCTCGAACGTGCACAAAGCGTGGGGGGGGGGGGGACACCCATCGGACTTACTCGCCCCTTGGGGATTCCCAGGATCCTGGGAATCAGGGAGCCAGCCGCTGTGACTGGTGAAAAGAAGCTGTGCAGCACCCTGTGCCCCACCAGTGCAAACTTCCTCTTACCTTAAGGTAAACAAGGAAGACAAAACCCCTAAGCACCCAAAGGGCGGCCAAAAAACCGAGCAGTAATACGGCCTAGCAGAGGCAGGCCCCGAGGAGCTTGTGGAAGCTGGCCCCAAGCTCCACGGGCAGTACTTACAGGGCACCTAGGGACGATAACCCTAGGCGCATGCAGCCCGAGTACTGTAGAATAGCTCCTGGCTCTCGCACCCCTAGAAGACAGCCACCACACTCTAAGCACAGTGCTGAAAACGCTGGAGCCAAGGACACGACCTCCACCTCTAGCATCAGCCTGAGAACTAAAGGATGGATAGCCGACGTGAGAGGTCTGGGGCTCCCCCTTCCCCCTCCCGGGGAAGGGAAAGCTGCGCAGACAGCAGCGCGGCGAACTGTAACATCGTGATTGTTTGCTCGTCTCTTTTAGGGGAGTTCTATCCACTTGTTTGGCTTTTGGTAGCAATATTTTCACCAGAATGGGGGTTTGTTTCGAGATGCTTACCTTTCTGGGTGCCTGACCCGGTCGATGGTAGACACAGAATGCTTCCAACCACACGGGGGTTTCTATAGGCCATTGCTCCCATTGCCTCTTCTGAGGGGGCCAGGTTTTGGCTCGTGGTCCCCGGTAGACCCATAGAACTCCATACACATAACTGATCCCAAAGTCTGACATTAGCATATCAGCCTAGTAAGCTCCGGAGAGCCAAAGGGGCTTCCCCCAGATAATTAAAAAAAAAAAAAAAAAAATCTGAAAAAAGAAAAACAATCACTGCCTGATTTTATTATGGAAGAGGACTCCCCTTCCAAACACCTCTCCTTCCCCCCCCCCCCCCCCCCCCCCCACAGTCTTTCATATGCCAACAAGAGTCATCAATAAAGGTAAGCAATAACTTGTACAAAAGGTATAAAATTTATTTTGAAGTTAATTTTTGGGGGAGTGTGGAAAGGATTAATTCAATTCCCATTATTTCTTATGGAAAAATTCATATCGACTTACGATATTTCGACTTACGATACGTCTCTGGGAACAGATTACCATCTAAGTCGAGTACTGACTGTAAATTTTTGCAGATAGGACGCATGGTTTGTGGTCCACCACCAACCGAATATTTATTGTATTTACAAGCACAGGGTCATATGGTTTCCTTTACAAAACCGTTTTCAACATATGATGAAGCATACCTTAACTTTTTCCACAAAAATTTCCTTACAAATTAGATATCTTATATGCAAGTAGAATGTTCACAACACACACACACACATGAGCATCACCCAATACATCAGTGACAAGGGTACACACTGGTAGCCAAGACGAGTGGTGCCTCTGGCAGGATCTATTGAAAATAGAGCCGCAACTTGGCACACAAAATATTCATGCAAGACATGAATAGGTAACTATTTTATGTTATTTCTTCAGCACATTATATAGTGGCCACCACAGTAAGCTGGCTTAACTGATGACACTATATGTTTTGATAATCATTTCAAATATTCATTACGTTATTGGTATACCGTTTTAACCCTTTGGCAGCTAATAACATTTATTAGCATTCTACATTAGCTAGACATAGTTTGCTTGCTAACCATATTTAGAAATAGTGTAGTAGGGACAATAAGTAAAATAGAGTCCTGAATATGAATTCATACAACCAACAAGAACAGATGTCTAATTACAATAACTTCAAAAGATGCACATATGTAAAACACTCACATTTAATTGATTAGTTTAGGGTATAAATTAACTTAAAGGTTAATGCCAATTTGTTCAATATTTGTTGTTTGAGAAATCACTATCATTGTGGATTAGTATTGCCTTGGCTCTTCTGAAGATGTCAGAGAAGATTTACGATTCAAGTGATTTGTTAAACAACTAACATACACAATCCAAAGTATAAACATGCAGTTCCTACCTTCCAAGTCCTCCTCCTCCTCTTCATCTTCACTCTCCGAGATATGGACTGAAACCACATTACTCGAGTCTTTAGTCCACTCAAAGTATACACCAAAACCAATGTCGTAACTGTCCGTAGCAAACTCCCAGAATAGGCATGTACCATCTTCATGAGTAGGAACACGCACCTGGTCAAAACAAAAATTATTTTAAGGCAGGTACAACATAGTATGACACTGTGGGAAACGATAACAAAAATACAGATACTTTAACTTTTTTTTTTTTAAACCTAAAATGGGTACCACCTCTGGTGCAAGTGTAGGGACCCAAGAGCCTCGGAGAAGAAAATAAAGAGTACTCAGAGAAGACCTTGTGGATCCTCATTGAACATTGATATTTTCTTCTCCTACCACCCTTATTCTGTTTGTATGTGTGTATATATATCTAACTTTATTTTAAAATTTCCTTACACAAAAAGGGTTATAACATTGGTTACATGCAGGGTACAAGACTACTTGTCATAAGTTTTAGAGCTCCTCCAGCTCCACAGATGGTGGGTAGAAACCATGGATGCAGTGAGCATTTCCTTTCTGGATCGCCACACTAAGGGGCTGAAAGAGAAAACTGGCGGTTCTAGGGGTCTCTAGTTGTTTCAATTAGCTTGGACCCCAGCTCCTTCAAAAAATAACAGCACTTTTACCCCAGGCACCATGTGTTTCCAAGGCAATGGGGACAAAATTGTAGAGTTGATCAAGGTCTCTGTATTTACGTGACTTGGCTGCTTCCCGGTGATTGGCAGCACCTCCTGCCTGTGCAGCACTGAAGTCAACATAGGTGTTGGTTAAAGTACTTTAACCCTTAACATGCTCGGGGTTTAATATCCTGTCATCCCCACAGGCGCATGTCATTTTGAAAAAAAAAAATTATTTTTTCTTCCTAACCTGTTAATTTGTGTTCACTGATCACGGGAAAAATAATAAAAAAATCGTAAGTGGCATATATGGCGGGTAAGTGGCGGGGAAGTCTGGCAAATTATAGGCGCTGACTCAGCGTGCGTCCCAGGCGGTCTGTTGCTCGCAAGCTGTCAGGCCAGAGTTGCCACAGAGATAATTACCGAATTATTTCAATGTGTCTGATTGATTTTTCATACTTTTTTTGCTGTAATATTATTCAATAGTGTGTAGTTTGATATATTTATATAATAAAATGAGTGAATCATTGCTGTACTCAAAAATATGGTGTGCATATTGTTGATTCAATTATGTTCATCAATCAGTGAACAAATACTTTGTCGGTTATTACATTATAAGCACAGGTTATATATAAGTATCTGCATGTTTTGTTCACTATAACGAACCACTAAGTAGCTATTATGAGTCAAAAAGTAACGAGGAGTGACCGCCATGTACCAGCCAGCCACTCCCGCCCTCCCTCCAGCCATCTGACTCACCCACATTCTCCTCCCACAATAATGTTTTTGCTATAATTCACTATATACAGACGTTATATATAAGTATCTACATGTTTTGTTCACCATAACTGTACATCTAAGCTTGTATGGTGAGTAAAGGCACAAAGATGTGGCTACTCACACAGTCAGCTGATCGGCGGCCGCCCTCAAGACCAGACGCACTAATATTTCTCCTCCAACAATACTGTGTGGCGTTATTACGCTATATACACACATTATATATAAATATCTACCTGTTTTACTCCCCATACTTGTACAAATAAACTGGTATGGTGCCCAAAGACCATCGTGGTAACCAGTAAACAACACCGTCGTCTGCACGGTGGCGTCATGCAGACGACGCCACCGCCCTCACCAAAATGGCGGCTCCAAACCTTCTCTTGCTGTTTATACCCTCTATACACACGTTATACATAAGTATCTACATTTGTGTTTACCATAGCGAACCACTAAGCTGGTATGCTGAGTGCAGTCAATAAAAGGTGGCCACACACAGTCAAAAGACATCGCCACCACCCTCCCTCCCACAGCATTACTCCTCCCTCCATGGCGCACAGGGCTAAATATCACCACAATCCTGCTATTATTAGAACCCTGGTCAGTTTTATCACAGTCAGGGGTCTTCTGTAATAATATCATCGCTACATAATAGCATGAACAAGTATAATTTGGCATTTTTAGGCGATGCTGTGGTCACAAGCTGAACAGCAGTGTTGTTAGCTCATGCTGCGTGCGTCAGGCTTCGTTGCTCACTCAATACTGAGGCCAATAACACCCGGGAGTTTGGCCCACGATTTTTTTTTAAAATGGCGTCTGTTTACAAGAGCCCTGATGAAGGTGTGGTGAACCCCGTGCATCTGCGGGCTGTTTAAATCTTGCATAGTACTCCAACACATCATATGACGTGATGCGCAGTTGACTGGAACAACGTCCAGCACGTCATATGACGTGATGCGCACTTTAAGGGTTAACTATTAACTACTGTTCATTTATCCAGCACTTCTGTTATATATTCCAATTCTAGTATATTCTCATCCTATCAGTACCCCCCATCTAACTCCCTACCAGTATTCTCTATCCACTTCTGGAGGAGTTGAAGTGGCTTCCTTTAGCTAGCTACATTGAGACGTTGATCGACAGTTGAGAGGCGTTGCCAAAGAGTCAAAGCTCAACCCCCACAAGCACAACTTGGTCAGTATAACTAGGTCAGTACAACTAGGTGAGTACTGAGTTAGCTCCACACCTAGTTACAGCAGATAAGCACTTCTTGAAATAACTTATTATGGAACCAACAAGAGTAAGGGGGAGATGACCCTCGACTACTCTTGCTGTTCACCCAAAATGAGGCAGATGTAGAGATGATAGAGTACGAGATGCCCCCAGGGGCAAATGACCACTGCATTAATGCCCTTCAGAGCATAATGGAGCTAAAGGAACTGGATAGACCAAGAAACATGCTAAGGAATATTTAAGACTACAGACATGGAGACTACAGTCAGGCAAGGGAATTTCTGAGTGAAGTCCTGTGAGGGCAGGAACTGGAAGAGAAGACAACAAATGGAATGAGGGAGGGAAGTTATTGGTCAGAAATGAGCACATGCAATGGAGCTGTACATCCCACTCAAAGTGGTGGTGGATGAAAAAGGCAAAGTAAATCCATGTTTTAACCCTTAAACTGCACAACACGTCATATGAAGGGTTGAGTAACTTGCAATAAATTGCGCATTGCGTCATATGACACGATGGAGTACTACGCAAGATTTAAACGGCCCGCGGATACACATGGTTCACCTCACCTTCATCAGGGCTCTTGTAAACAGACGCCATTTAAAAAAAAAATCGTGAGCCCCATTCCCGGGTATGAGGTCCTCAGTACCAAGTGAGCCACCAAGGCTGGCCCACGTAGCATGAGCTCACAGCACTTCTGTTCAGCTTGTGACCACAGCATTGCCACTCAGCATACTTAGTGGTTCGTTATGGTGAACACAAATGTAGATACTTATTTATAATGTGTATACAGTATATAGTGTACAGCAAAAGGAGTGTGGGGGAGAAGCCATTTTGGTGAGGGAGGTGGCAACATCTGCATGATTTGTCATGTTGGTAGGGGTGGCCACTATGCTCTTTGGGCACTATACCAGCTTAGTTGAACAGTTATGGTGACCAAAACATGTAAATACTTATATATAATGTGTGTATAAAGGGTAATAATACTACAAACAGTATTGTTGGGGAAGAAATTTTAGTGCATCTGACCTTGAATGTGTGAGGGAGGTAGCCGCCAGCTGACTGTGTGTAGCGACATCTCTTAGTGCCTGAACTAGCTATATCAGCTTAGTTGTACAGTTGTGGTGAACAAAACATGTAGATACTTATATATAACATCAGTATGTAGTGAATAAAAGCAAAAACAGTATGGTGGGAGGAGAATGTGGGCAAGTGAGGTGTTGAGGGAGTGAGTGGCAGCGAGTGGCTGGCTGGTGTGTGGCGGTCACTCCTCGTTGCTTTTTGACTCATAATACCAACTTAGTGGTTCGTTATGGTGAACAAAACATGCAGATACTTATATATAACCTGTGTATATAGTGTAATAACTGACAAGTATTTGTTCACTGCTTGATGAACATAATTGAATCAACAATATGCACACCATAATTTTAGTATAGCGATGATTCACACATTTTTTATATAAATATATCACACTATACATTATGGAATATTATTACAGCAAAATAAAAAAAACAAAGAAAAATCAATTGGAGACATTGAAATAATTAGGTAATTACAGTGGTACCTTGCATAACGATCGCCCCAAAAGGCGAATATTTTGGGTAACAAACGGCCCGATCGGCGTCAAATCGTCCCGTATGGCGAACGCTCGTTTGAGTAACGTCAACACCACATGGTGGGGTCACGCTGCTTCTTGCACATTCTCAGACGCCTCCAACGATGCACATAAATTATGTTGTTCTTGTTTAACCCTTAAGTTGCGCATCGCATCATATGATGCTTTGGAGTACTACGCAAGATTTAAATGGCCCGCGGATACACGGGGTTCACCACACCATCAGGGCTCTTGTAAACACTACGGGCTCACCATAGCGCGTGCTACTTGGAACTTTTTGTTCCAGGTAGCGAATCTTTAACATTATCATCATCTTGTAAACAGACGCCATTTAAAAAAAAAATCGTGGGCCAAATTCCCGGGTGTTAGGGGCCTCAGTATTGAATGAGCTATCAAGCCTAACGCATGCAGCATGAGCTTACAGCACTGCTGTTCAGCTTGTGACCACAGCATTGCCTAAAAATGCAGTAATATACTTGTTCATGCTATTATGTAGCGATGATATTATTACAGAAGACTCCAGACTGTGATAAAACTGACCAGGGTTCTGATAATAACAGGATTGTGGTGATATTTAGCGCTGTGCTCCATGGAGGGAGGAGTAATGCTGTGGAAGGGAGGGTGGTGGCGTTGTCTTCTGACTGTGTGTGGCCACCTTTTATTGACTGCACTCACCATACCAGCTTAGTGATTCGCTATGGTGAACACAAATGTAGATACTTATATATAACGTGTGTATAGAGGGTATAAACAGCAATAGGAGTAGGTTGGGAGCCGCCATTTTGGTGAGGGAGTTGCGTCGTCTGCATGACTTATGTTGTTTACTGGTGACCACTATGGTCTTTGAGCACCATACCAGTTTACTTGTAAAA